ATACACTGATTGAAAATGAACGTAATATCTATATGCATTATATTGTTTGACAATGCATAATAGACAATGTTTCACAAGAAATATAAAACAAATCTTCATTTTTTCTGAAATCATTATTGTGACACCTAAAACGACATTTTCAGTCCTACGCATAAACCCTTTCAGCCTGCTGAATCTCAGTAAGGGCTTATCAGCTAGTAAATCACTATTAGCTGTATATCTCCCATTAACACGTCCACTGAGTTGAGAGTTTTGTCATTATTTATTGCCCCTCTGTATTCTTATCTAATGGCCCCAACTTTGAAGAATCAAATTTCTATAGAAGATACACTCACTAAATTTATCAATGTTTTTTTTCTCCTTTCTTTTGTAAATGGGTCTTTGGCCCAATTGAATTGTGAAATTGTTAATTTACTTTATAACATACGATAAGTTTTTAAATAAATAATAAATAAAATATAAAGTTTAATAGTTAAGTGTCACTGTTACTCATGTTACTGACTGAACCCCGCTAAAAACAAAAACCAAAAAAAACAAACTGTTCATAGATGTAACTTTACTGCAAAGTGCAAGACTCTTAGCTAAAATGACCAGATAAGTGATATTTTATTATTAGCTCGACTATACTAAGAATGTGGTGAGTTGTCCTACTCACCTCGGTTTGCAAGTCGACGTCAGCGTCCAAACTTTAAATTAATGTTTATGCGCCTATAACTTCTTTATTTCTTAAGGTATTAATTTCAAATATATATTCCTTATCATCATCCACATCATTTGATAAGGTGCAAAACTCTAAAACCAGTATTTCCAGAACTATATCCCATTGAACTTAAAATAATGTTATATTTTACTCTAACATCTTCATTTCATATTAAAGTATTGACTTTAAACTTCAAACATGTGTTCCTTATCATCAATTTCATCATATGTGACAATGTTGTTGTTTTTTTTAACTCTAACACCAATTTTTCCAGAATTATCTCCCCATGAATTTGTTTTCCTCTCGAAAAATGTTACTTTTTACTTTCTTTTTTATTTCTTAAGGTATCAACTTCTAACTTCAAATATATTTCCTTATCATGTGTGACAAGATTCATAACTGTAGCATGAATATTTCCAGGATTATTTCCCCCATTAAACTTTTTTTAAAATAAAAATTGATATTTTATAACTTTAAACAATAACATGGCAAGCTTCATAGCTCTAGCATCAATATTTTCAGAATCATCATCCCTTTATACTTAGAATTTTCCTTATTAAATTCGGACTTCAGCAAGAGCTGTCACACAAGTGACGAATGCCCCCGAAAAAGTTTGTTAAGCATGCAGGACTGGTAGTATGAAAAGAAAAGAGGATGAAAGTAACTAATTGCTTAATAATTTTCTTTGTATTATTGTACCTATAATCTCTTTATTGTGATAGGGTATAAGTGTAACCCTGACTTTTGAAAAAGCGACGTGGTTCCTGGACACGGCAGAATGTTGTCATGAGATAGACATTTGTGCCAAGTTATTTCAAAATCCCTCAATGCATGACAAAGTTACATACTGGACATGATATGGACAGACGGACATGAGCCTTAGCTGCGATACATCGTCCTGATGTGGTAGACATTTGTGCCAAGTTATTATAAAATTTGTCCATGCATGTCCGGACATGAATGTGTATCTTCAAACTCTTCTCGAATGAATGAATACCTTCAAACTATAAGTATGACCTTGACCTTGAAGATAGGGATAGGGGTCTTAGCCGCGACATGTCGTCTTGATGTGGAAGATATTTATGCCTAGTTATTTTGTAATCCTTTGATGCATGACAGTCCGGACAGGAATGTGTATAACTATAAACTCTAATTTTGATATAGTGAACTTCAAAATGGTAGTGTGAGCTTGACCTTTGAGGTAGGGGCGTGATAAGTTGACGCGACACATCATCTTGATGTGGGAGACATTTATCCCAAGTTATTTTTCCATGCATGACAAAGTGACATTAAGGACACAAATGTGTGAACCTATAAACTTTTATTGTGAAAAAGTGAAACTTCAAAATGTTAGTGTGACCTTGACCTCTGAGGTAGGGATGTAATTCATAGACGCAAAACATCGTCTTGATGTGGTAGACATTAATGCCTTGTTATTTAAATATCATTTCATGCATGACAAAGTTATAGTCCGGACAGGAATGAAGTGTCGACGCACAGACAGACGGACGTCCAGACAGGCAGAGAGAGGGACGGTGCGATTTTAATATGCCTCCCTTCGGCGGCATAAAAATGTTTTTATCAACACCTATATCAGGTGCGATTAGATTTATAACTCTAGTCCTGTATTTCTAGAATTATCTCCATTTCATTTTTGAATTAGGGATTTATTTACAATTAATATATTTCTAACAATTATCTTTGTTATTATAAATGACATCAACTCTAGACTTAAGATAAGCATCCTTTGTCATTACTCACATCATGCATGACAAGGTTTTTAACTCTAGTATCCTTATTTCAAGAGATATTTCCTCTTTGAACTTAGAATTTTACTTTCAAAACTTTATTTACTTTTTGCTGTATCATTTTGGTACCTTTATTATAAAAAAAATCACATTCATCTCTTTTCCTACTAGATTGAATGATAAGCTTCAAAAATGCTTTGAATCCATTATTATTATTACTTTTAAAACATTATTTTGCTCCTTCTGAAAAAAAGAAAAAGAATGTAAATCACTGAGGTATGATATGCCTTTAATATAAAAGTAATTTACAAAATTATTTTCATTGTGAGTTGAAAGTGATTAAAAACCTTTTTTTACTGTAATCCAATTTTTCATTGTCTTCTTTACACTAAAAATTTAAATCTTAGTTTTTCGTTACATCTAAAATGTTCTCTATATCTTCAAGCTTAAACTATACATTCTTGAAACATGATAGGATCATAAAACATTCAAGGGTGCTGCTATCAGTAATACAGTGACAAGCCGTGTAATTATAATTAAATGCTCATCAGTGACCAGAGATAGGAAATTTTGGGGAAAACTGGAAATCTTGGGCTTATGCGTAGGACTGTTTTTATAAGCAAATTTTTTCAACGGTTTTACATTTTCGATTACTTTATTGGTGTAAGAGAGGTTACTACAACATGATGTTTTTTACCACACTATCTGCGTTTTACCTCTTGACATTGTATCCTACTATCTAAACCCTATGTTTGCTCAGAAACATTGTCGTCTGCTAAACGATGTAGTATCGTATTTTCATTAAATTGCGCCCATTTTGTGCCCTATCTCACAAAGAAAGTACAAAAAGAGTACAACATATCTCTGAAATACACACACGTAAAAAGTCTGGATCTGCATCTAATATTTTTCTATTGAAAACATACAGAGCGATTTTGATAACGCTTATCACTGTCATGAGCCATTAAAAAATAAGTTACGACGCCGCCTGTGTAAAACTTGCACTAACTTACCGAAATCATGTTAAAAAACGGATTTATAGTAATTGAAGGATACTGCTTTCTCTAGCAGGTTCACTGTCCATTGTTTAGATGATGGTTTTATTGTCATACATGTGTAAGATCGTTATCGTATGATTCTATGTTTTAAATGGATTAATTCCCTTCTTTGTTTATCATCTGGATTAAGTTTATCCACAAGTCATTATCAACAGCCATGCATATATTTAAGGGCCTGTTTAATGAACTTAAGTCTCTTTGTAATTTTTGTATTCAAGATATTGCTATGGAACAACAGACTTTGACAACTTTGATATCTTTGTAATTGTCAAGCTTGGTTTGCAGATATTGTAATCGAGGCATGTCTTTTATTATACTTGGTATGACATTTAAATGTTTATAGACGGAAATTATCCAACCACAAAGATTCATTTAATAATATAAGCGGAGATACATTACTTGATGCTTCTTTGTAAAAGGCAAAAGAAAATATATATTGATATTGAAATTAAAGCAAACTGGAGAAAGGAAATGTATCTTAACACTTACAGAGATGTGTGTTTTAATTTTTATGAAGTCTTTAAAACTCAATATTAATATCATTTCCAATAAAGGGTCTCAATAATAAAGCGTTGCTAACAGCTGTAAACGATTACTATATTATAAAAGTCAAATGCTTTAAAGTATGCTTAACAATATAGTACTAATTTTCATTTTGTAACGACATATTTGAAATCATTGGTATTTGTCATTATTGGAATTAAAGACCCAATTAGTCTACACGATATGGTTTTTATTCCGAGCAACATTTTATGGTGTCCTCCTACAAAAAACAAAACAAAAGACACACACGCACCAACGCACACACACACACATACACGTACGCACACACACATACACAAATTTTGGGCATACATTTGTGGCCGAACCTTCTTTTCTCCTTTGGCAATTTGTACATTTTAAGTGTTTTCTATGAAAGTCATCAACTAATTACCATTTGCTACTTTTATGACAAATAATGTCAAAACAGTATGAGACATAAGGGTACAGCTTTTATATGTGTTACATTGATGTTACGTACATGTCACTTAGAGTTATTCTTGTAACATATTACAAGTGTTTCATTAAATTGCGCCAATTTTGTGCCCTATCTCACTTTTACACTTTTCTACGATAGTAAGTGCGTTCTTTCAATGATATCTGCATAGAATTAATTATTTTTGATCATGTAGCTTTATGGTAAATGCTATTATTTATGCATATTTTGTTCCCTTTGAATTCCTGTGAAATGACAAACTACGCCATAAATAATTAATTCTATTACGATAACATTGAATGAACGCACTTACTATCGTAGAAAAGTGTAATAGTTATTACACGCAAAATTGACGATAGTTAGTGCGTTCATTCAATGACATCTGCATAGAATTAATTATTTATGACGTAGTTTGTCATTTCACAGGAATTCAAAGGGAACAAAATATGCATAAATAATAGCATTTACCATAAAGCTACATGATCAAAATGGTTTCGTCAAAAATTATTAGTAAAAGGTCATAGATAAATTTGCGAGACATCATCTTTTTATACCTTGACATTTATGTTTTAGAATAATGTGCAATTTATTTTTTCACTCGGTCCATGTCATATTTGTTTCAACAATGGCGAACTGTGATTTAAATAAAAAACAAAAACATAAATGATTAGAATTTTTGTATTAACATAATCATTATAATTATGAGGGATGATTCAGAATAAATGCAATGTAACTTAAGTCTCAAAAGACCAATGCATTGTTATTGAAAAAATGCAATATGAATCGGCTAGAATTGTCACCGGTTTAACAAGATCAGTGTCCATTCAAAATTTATTAAAAGAAATAGGGTGGGTATCTTTGGCAGAAAGAAGAAAAAATCAAAAACTTGTTTTAGTATACAAGGGGAAACATAATTTACTGCCATTATATTTATCACAGTTATTTCCCCCTTTAGTAGAAAAGGCAAATGAAAACCAGTATAATTTAAGAAATAACACCAATTATGTTACTATGACAAGGAGAACCGAAATATATTCAAAATCAGTTATACCGTCATCAATACAGCTTTGGAATGAATTATCAATAAATATTAGAGAATCTGACTCGTTAGCAAACTTTAAAAGAAAACTGAAAGAAATTTATAAACCTCCCATTGTTCCGTCTTATTTTATAAACGGTGAACGTTCACCAACAGTATACCATACACGTCTTAGGAATAATTGCAGTAATTTAAACTCGGACTTAAATAAAAATCATATTATACAAAACCCAGCTTGTGAATGCGGTGCTTTAATAGAGGACGCTGAACTTTTTTTATTTCAATGCCAAAAATTTAATCATCAGAGGATAGAACTTTTTAAAAATACAAGAGAATTTCATCCTCTTAGTACGCAAAAGTTACTTTTTGGTATAAATGCTTTAACTAATTCTTAAAGCATGCTTTTATTTCATCATGTTCATCAGTTTGTTAAAGAAACGAACAGGTTTATATAGTTTAACAACATCTGATTTTCTTTTATACTTTTTTATGGTTCTATACAAATTGTTAGACTATTGTCAACTTTCAAAATTCATAGTAAAACTGTTGTAGGGAGTAGGCGACGTGGTTTTTTCAAATATCAGAAAATATATTTATTTACTATTTTTTTCTAATTATTTTTTCTTAGATTTCAACTTAATTAATCATACTTTACATAATTATGTCTTTTTCACATCTATTTTTAAATAACATTGCAGTCAGTATTTCAGGGGAGGGCCCCCGATAATGTTGTTATAACTTTTGGCCCAACCCTTTTGTATATTTACATTAATGTATTTATGAATAATTGTGAAAATTTATGTATGTATGTATGTGTGTATATATATATAGAATATGTTTAAACTAACGCCAACTCTCCTTGTTAATATTGTTTCTCATATTTTAGCAAAAAGTTAACATTATATCAATCACTTCGTGAAGTTTCAAAGACATCTATGGTACACTGGTAGAGTTATAGCAGTGGCTCCTATAACACCGGCTTTCATCAATCTTTCAAATATACTTATATCTATAATCCAAATGACACTTGTTAGCTTTTGTTTCAAATTGTGTTGTTGTTTGGGTATTTCTTTAATACTCAAATGATGCAAAATGTACGTGAATATAACAATCATGTTGCATTGAAACTGCCACAACTTTGTTATATTAATACTGTTCATCTATTTTGTTCATCTATTTTAAAGGATTTGAGACAAAACAAAATATTTTTTACAAATATGGTGATACATATATAGTTTTTGATAGCTTTAAAAAAAGCAAGCCTATAAATGTAATAGATAATCTCCAATACTTAAATAAATGTAGCATAACAAACTGTAAGTGACAAGCAATATCTATCAAGATACTATGACAAATTTCTCATATCGAGATTAAAATCAAAAATGTATCGCAGCGGCAATGGGTTTATATTTATCTTTGCAGTAGCAGTTTCATTTAATCCACATATTGAAAAAAGAAACATTCACCGTAACATATCAAACGAATACAAAAACAAGCGTTATTGCAATATCACGTGCACAAGATGTTGTGTAAAGCTGAGAATATGTGGTCTTCCAACATTTCAACGTTTGTAATACTGAATAAGTAGATGTCCGACAGATCGATATTCCTTTTGAAAAAAACTACATCGATGGATCCCTTGGGAGCTATGCATATACAGACATCTCACAAACCAAACTGATATTTGAAATACTCAGTAGCTGGATCCACGAATAGTTGTGAATATGGAGACGCTGGACAAAGTTACAATTGAATACTATATATAAATGGATTGAATTTAATGAATATGCCAAAGTCTGAAATATCGGTGATTCAAATACTGCATCGATGGCTTCATGGAATCTGTGAATATGTAAACGTCCGACAAATATTGAAGTTCTTCATCGATTGATTATGATCTACGAGAAGCTTTAATATACAAAGTGCTGTTTTAGATGTAGCCCAGTCTTGAATGGCCAAAATGTCTTACAAATCACATTTTGAAATACTCCATCGATGAATTGATTCTTCTTGGTTTTCAGAAAATGGAAGTGTCTTGTGTTTTCTTAAAAGAAAAACGAAAATAAACTAATTTTGACACTATGCATAATAAAACACAAATATAAATTTTACGTTCTATTCTAAGCGATTCAATGTTTTTGAGTTTTCAGTATCAAATGATATAGATCTAACATTAGTATAGATACTGGTCAGACTGCACGGAAGTACAGGCTGGCCTGGCTCTATACTGGTGACAAAGTTAAGTTATTTTCGGTGCTAGAAGGTTAACGGTTAATAAAATAATTATGAATTTTATTAAACAATCAATTTAATAATTTGAGAAAAAAAATATTCAAAATCTACTTTTTGAATTGACTTAGCACACTTTGTTATAATATAAAAGAAACAGATAAAATATGTAAATGTTCCTTAAAATATGAAAAGTATGATAATTACGCTTCTCTTTCCTTCAGAAGCTCCGAAACTCTGCGTCGACTGAAGCCATTTGTATCTCTGTTTTGTAAATACATCTTTTATCTGCAATTGAAGTCGTGTTACATTAATGTTTATTTTTTATCAACAAAGTTACGTACTTAGCTAACCACGGTTTGGTTTTTGGACCCACCAAAATAACTAAGCTATCCATATTTTAATTTAGCACTCATAATTTAAAGAATTTTGAAATCTCATCTTTATTTTATATGAATAATGTAATGAACTCACTTCATCAAGTCATATTGCAAGAAGATACAATTTAATGGATTGGCATTTTAACTGTTTCGCGGCAGTGCGATAATTAATGCGGTCAGATCGCTCCACTGAGAGCAATAACATAATAAACGAAGATGGTGACAACATAGCTACAATGAAAGGAGTAAAAGATCGCTAAACACCTAGGAATCGTCTTGTTACATCACTTGTTAGCGCGCCAAGTCAGTTTGCTATCACGTATGATTCATATATTAGCTTAAATGATGTTTAAGATATTTTACGTGTTCAGTGTGTCTTACGGTTTGAAACTTAAAAGCAACCAAAATGATATAACTAAGATTTAAAATCCAGTCATGATACCAATGTTGGCAAATTATTAGAAACAGTTACCTTTTTGTCCAACACGCAGTGAAATATGAAGATCAGCAGTCCCTGTAAATTTTATTCTTTTTATAATTTTTTCATAAATACATAATGGAAATAAAATTTAAAACCTAAATACGTTTGATAATTGTGGCATCGTTATACTATTAAACACAAACATTTAGGAAAACATGTATTTTATAGTACAGTGTCCGAAAACAGTACAAATATAAACAAGAGCCATGTCAACATGGCCATCCCCCGCCGAATGTGTTTGCTCATTGGAAGAATGTAAATGTAGTAGAGCAGAATAATTTAATTTTAAGAGTTTTTTTTGGTAATAAAAAATGATGGCTGAAGTGTTTACAGATGTGAATACTGATGGCTGAAAAAACAAAGGGCAATAACTGAAAAATAATGTAGGGTATGTTATCATTCTTGTGTGATGCACCTCTCCTCAGTAAAATCTATCCACCTATGAAGATTCAAGTTGATACCTCAAATACTTTTTGAGATAAGCTCCGGACAAAATAGTATGAAAAAGAACAAAGCACAATAACTCAAAAATTGTATAGGAAGAGTTATCATTCTTGTGCACAGCATTCCTCCTGAATAAGATCTATCCACCTATGACATTTCATGTTGACATCTCAAACACTTTTGAGTTATGCCGACTGAGTATGAAAAATAACAAAGGGAATAAACTTAAAAATTATGAAAGGTAGGGTTATCATTCTTGTGCGCTGCACACCTCCTGAGTGAGATCTATGCACCTATGAAGTTTCATGTTGATATCTCAAAGGCCTTTTGAGTTATGCTCTGGACAAAAATTAATTTTGAAAAATAACAAAGGGCAATAACTCAAAAATTATGCAGGGTAGGTTATCATTCTTGTGCACTGCACTCCTCCTCTATGCGATCCATCCACCTATGAATTTTCAAGTTGATAACTCAAATACTTTTTGAGATAAGTTCCGGACAAAATAGTATGGAAAAGAACAATGGGCCATAACTCAAAAATAATACAGCAAAGAGTTATCATTCTTGCGCACAGCATTCTTCCTCAATAAGATCTATCCACCTATGATATTTCATGTTGACATCTCAAACAATTTTTTAGTTGTGCTACACTCAAAAAAAAAATTAAGTATGAAAAATAACAAAGGGCAATTACTCAAAAATATGAAAGGTAGAGTTATCATTCTTGTGCACTGCATACCTCCTGAGTGAGATCTATGCACCTATGAAGTTTCATGTTGATATCTCAAAGGCCTTTTGAGTTATGCTCTGGACAAAAATTAATTTTGAAAAATAACAAAGGGCAATAACTCAAATTATGCAATGTAGGTTATCATTCTTGTGCACTGCACTCCTCCTCCATGCGATCCCTCCACCTATGAAGTTTCAAGTTGATAACTCAAATACTTTTTGAGATAAGATCCGGACAAAATAGTATGAAAAATAACAAAGGGCAATTACTCAAATATTATGAAAGGAAGAGTTATCATTCTTGCGCACAGCATTCCTCCTGAATAAGATCTATCCACCTATGACATTTCATGTTGACATCTCAAACACTTTTGAGTTGTGCTCCACTCATATGAAAAATTAAGTATGAAAAATAACAAAGGGCAATAACTCAAAAATTATGAAAGGTAGAGTTATCATTCTTGTACACTGCATACCTCCTGAGTGAGATCTATGCACCTATGAAGTTTCATGTTGATATCTCAAAGGCCTTTTGAGTTATGCTCTGGACAAAAATTAATTTTGAAAAATAACAAATGGTAATAACTCAAAAATTATGCAGGGTAGAGTTATCATTCTTGTGCACTGCACTCCTCCTCCATGAGGTCTATCCACCTATGAAGATTCAAGTTGATAGCTCAAATACTTTTTGAGATATGCTCCGGACAAAAATGTCGGACGGAAGGACGGACGGACGGAAGGTCGGACGGACGGACAGACGGAGACTGTTTCTATATCCCCCGCCGCCTTTTCGGCGGGGAATAATAAGATATCTGCTCACACATTACTAAAAAACATAAAGAGCGTCTATGACGTACAGGGAGTTTTAATAATAGTATTTAAATGTTTGGTTAGGAGTTTGTTCTTAACTAGAGTGTTCTACTTTTTCTTGGATTAAGCTAGGTCAAGATCACTGGAAGCGCGGGTTTGCCGTGCTTGATCCGCGTCCGTAAAATAAATGAAAGCAATTGCAAGTAAAAGGCCAAAGTATTATTCCAATGACCCTTAATTATAAAATTTCTGGTTTAAAACACACACACACACACACACACACACACATATATTTGACTAAAATAACATGTCATTTATTGATCACATTCGTTCATAATAATCGTCTTTCTGTCAGGTTGTATTTGTGCATTTAATACATGAAATAAATATAGCAAAATATTCAAATAATAAATGTACTATTCGTATGATAAAAGATAAGAATCAGGACACGTTAATATATTTGTGCTTTTAACTTTTAGCATACATTAAGCCTATGGTCTATAAAGAGGCAAAAATCAAAATTAACGGGGCAACGATTAACATCGTGAAACAAAAGTGTTGCCACCAGTTAAAGCCTAGACAGACTACATATTTAAATTTACTTATTGTAGATCTTTTTTACAATTTGACATAGTTCTTGAAACTTTGACTTAATTGTTCCAAACTATATTTTATGTATCCCATTTCACGAATTATGAAGGTTAAAAGTAAATCAATGGAGCGCCCTTGTTCATTATTTACATTTGAATGTTGCATTTTGATAAAATATATCACAAGGATTTAAAGTAATTGTTGGATACCTGAAAACTGTTAAGAATAGCGAATATGTACTGGAAAGCAATTGTGTCACTATTCAAAGATAGTACTCCAAACCCCCATGTCATACCCATCAACGGCATGAGCACCAATATGCAACGTAATGCTGACCTGAAATGATATGATATACGGTGTAATATTAACATAAGTAGTCATGTATTAAAGTATTAAACTACTGATGGAAAACGATCTTGTTTTGTGGTCGACGGCGATTTAAAAAGCGATGTTTTGTCTTCCAAAACATTACGCAGATTTAGTTTACAAAGATTGTTTCCAAATTAATTTCATTTTTCATCAGTATATGTTGCTTAAATTTGCAAAATCCCACAGTATGTGTACAAGTGAGTGTTCGTCACTATAAGTTGGTTGTTATAAAAGTGTCATGAAAAAATACTTTTTGCAGATGACAAAATGTGGGATGTCCGTACTCAAGCGATCATTAACAGTTGAGTGAATTGAAAAAAATAACAATGAAAGCAGATACCAAACAGCTCTCAGTATCTACGAACTTTTCAAGTGTCCACAACTGAGTGGACATGCTTCGTATTTTATTTATTTATTTATTGCTTTTAAATTAGTACAATTGATGATACGCCTGACAAAAACACATAAAGGAGCAACTGTCATACTTTGCCCGTCCTTTGTTTGATTTCTTCGACATTGCTGTAGTGCCGCACATTGTCCGAATCACGAAGACAACAATTATAAAATTAACCTGAAACGAATTGTTTGAAACAAGAACATGTTTATAAAATAATAGATTTATAAGTTATAAATTGATTGATTAATTAATTAATTAATTTCGAATTTAAGCTTAGCTTTATTAATCAATTAATCGATTAAGTTATGAATTAATTTTAATAAACTAAATAATTAATCAATTTTATAAATAAATGTATTCTAAATTGATTGATTGATTGATTGATTGATTGATTGATTGATTGATCGATTAATATTTGATAATGTTATTTACAGCAGTCGTGTATAAAGATAATTTAAACGCCATGACTCACTGAAACTCGCACTCATTAAAATCATGATTGGTCATCACGTGACATTTGCTTAAGGTAACATTGGATCATGACAAAAAGTATTTTCTATTTTCATATTTATTTTTCAATATTTAAACTATAATCATATATCATGTTCCAGGCAATTATTCTCCGATTCATAATGTACCTCTTGTACTTTTCCGACGTTCTTGCAGAATTTGTGACACATATTGTAATCATTTTGAGCACTGGTGACCTTGACCAAACTGACCCCTAACTCTATCCAAAAGAAGAATACCATTTAACTTATCTTCCTACCAAATATGAAATGCATCTGTCAATAAATAAAGGCTGTATGGGCAAAAGTGTAAAAATCTATTTTAGCACAAGTGACCTTGACCCACTGATCCCTACCCCAATCAAAAGAATGAATATCATGCAAGTTATCTTCTTACCAAATATAAAATATATCTGTCACTTAATAAAGGCTGTATAAGCAAATGTGTAAATATCTATTTTTAGCACTGGTTACCTTGACCCAACTGACCACTAACTCTATCAAAGTTTATGTTTCTATCAATTATAAATAACATCTGTCTATAGAATAAGGTCAATACACCTGTAAAAATGTAAAAATCTATTTTTAACGTTGGTGACCTTGAGTGACATTGGTAACATTGACCTTGACCCAAATGACCCCTAACTACACCCAAACAAGGAGGACCTCCCTTGGCATGTTTGTATTAAACTAAGACATCAACTAAAAAATAAAGGCTGTATGAGCAGAAATGTTTAGATTTATTTTTTAAACCAGTGACCTTGACCTTGACCCTAGAGACCGCTTACTCCACAAAAAAATAGAGGACCATCAAAGGTATCCACCTACTAAATATGAAATATATCATTAAAGAAATTAAGCATTTATGAGAAATTTTAAAATAAATCAAACTTGCCGAAATAGGTTAACCAAACAAGGCCTTATTTTCAAAGTGAAAAAAGGGAAATGACAGGGAAATATGGATGACACAGTTATATAAATTGGCAATATCATGTACTTTGTATTGATAAGTAAGTGTGGAAATTATAAAGCCATTAGTATAGATCGAACTTAAGATATTTCTAACTTGCCGTTTTAGGTTAACCATTATTCATTTTCTAAGTGCTGAAAAGGGCAATATGAAACCAGAGTTATGTAACTTGCCCAGATCATGTTCTTTGTATTGATTACTAAGTGTGTAAACTTAGAAGCCATTGGTACAGGTAGAACTTAAGAAAAATCCAACTTGCCGCTCTAGGTTAACCTCGTACGGACAGACGGACAGACGGGCGGACGGTTCAATTACTATATGCCCGGGGGCATAAAAACTAATATAATGGAAAACTATTTAAAAATTGGAATCTGCAAATATTTACCTGGAACATGGTATTAGTTTATAAGTCAAATATTAAAAACGGAAAATTAGCAAATACTATTTGCGGTGACCCAATGTTAGCGTAAACAAATGTCACTTGGTCACCAATCCTGTAATACGTTGCATTATAAAAATAACAAAATGTTATGATTATCCAATAAAATCGACGTTAAAATGTACAAATTATAAGCTGCAACAATAAAGACACCAGTTAAAAAAACTATTGTGAAGTTTAAAGTGTATAAAGCTACATGCATATATCTTATGCAAAAATCATTGTTTGGATTTTGAAAAAGAATACTTCCAAAATTCTTGTATGAATAAGAATGGCAATAAATTGCCTTAAAGCGAGTGGTGCATGCACAAAGTAATTGATAATCGAATAAAACCCCACTTAAAATATCAAAATAATATTTTGTTCTGGAACATTTTATTCTGTTTCTGTCCATTATCCGTGTGTGTTAAATAACAGAGACATTCTATGATACTACTTTTTCGAGAATCAACCATATAATAATGGAATAATAGATAATAGATTAACAGTTTTATACCATTTATGTACAGTACATGTCTTAATACTTTTTTCTTTAATTTGCATCTTTTTGATAATTTTTTCTCAATCTTGCACTTTTTATTTCATGCCCTTTAAATTGCTACTAGTTTTTTAAAGTTTTTACTAAAATTTTGATCTGTTATTTTTAGTTTTTATGTTTTAATGTCTTTTTATTTGTCGGGAAAAAAAGCTTATTAGCTAATGTTTCTTGTAATATGTAAACCGACTGTAAATAAAGTTTCTTGTATCTTGTATCTTAACAAATTTCACAAATACAATACTATACAGTCATACAATAATACAGTCACACAATGTACATACCACTATAACAACAAGAACCGGAGCAATAAATGCCCATATCAATCCAGTTTCAGTTGATAACCAGCATCTGGAACATATCTAGATATATGAAAATCATTTACATGGAAAGGTTAAAAATTATAAAATAGTCTGGAGACTTTACTATTGAAAGTGCATTAACTGAGGTGCATGTATCAGTTACTCACACTCACTGCTCGTTGATTGGCTCATTTTTTCTGGGTTTTACTAAATGGGACAACTCAATAGAAAAGTCATATTCAGATGCTCATTAAATTTTTCTGGTGTTAAATATTGTGAAGACATGGACCATGTTTTTATTTTTGTCTATAATAGAAAAGAGAAAGAACATCAAAACACACGGCAATCTGATTTATACTCGGTTGATATATAGACCTATATTGGTACATTAAATAAGGTCAATCAGATACATAAGTACGTAAAATTAAACATACAGTACAAAAACTAAAAAAGTGCATCATTAAATAAGTTGATTGCTATTGTTGGAAATGGTGCTGGTTGTAATCAACATAAATTAGCCTTTTTATCTATTTTGTTACTCATGTTTTCACGATTTATGTTCTTTTGGACCATACTAACTAAATAATGCACCTTTTTAGGTTAATTCTTCTGCAATGGTGTGGAACCGTCCTAAAGGTCCATTGTCACATGGCGATTTTATAAGCTGACAATAATACTTCTAATGAAATATCGAACAATTATTTAATTCCAAAAACAAGATTTTATGACATTGAGTTCTATAAAGCGACCAATACAAATATGTGAAAGTATGATAAGCACATTTATGATATTAAGTAATCACAAATCCATCATCAATGAAAATGCAAAAACGCAATTTAGCTTTTAAAAATGTTACATAAAATGATGGAAACTTACGCCTGTTCGGTTCCATATCCCTGTAGCTGTGATGCACCCATAGATATCACAACAATAAGTACTGCGAGGACTGGAAATCAATAAATAATCTTGAAAAATAAGCTCATTACAACATGCATAAACATTTTTATCACATTACCCCCACAGCCCGAGCCCTACCGCCAGGTCATTTCAATACAAAATCAAACAATTATAACAAAAATATATTACTGATACTATTAACTATTATATTCATTTAATATTTATTTTCTATTAATATTTATATATAATTTTTAACTGGAGTTTAACAGATATGATCTAAAAAATCAACTGATTAACATATACGTATATACCATAAGACGATATCATAAGTGGCATCCCAGGTTTTATAGTACTTAGTGGTTTAAGAACAGTATATGAAAGGTTACATCCCTCCGTCAGCATTCCGAAGAAAACTATCAAAAACACTAGGTGGAGAAGTACCGCCATTGCTGTGCAAACGTCCTACACATTGATGAAAAGCATATTAAATTTAAATAAAGCATCAATATCAAGAAATAGAGGATATTGAATGAGTGTAGTTTAATACTAAATTTATTGAACGAGCATAATATTGTTTTATTCAACGAGTTTAATAAATTTAGTATTGAATCTACACGAATATAATATTCTATTTATCATATATATAAAATAAGAACAGTAAACTGTTAAAATGAGTATTTTTTCAATGACGCTCCTATAGTGTAACGCTAACATTAGCGCGCTTTAACGCTATGTTTATATATAGCGCAAATGATGTCAAGTCAGAGTGTTATTGCACTAGTGTAATATCGTTTTTATTAAATGGCTTTATAACACTCCTTTGCCGCGGTGTATGTGATAAAGAAATATATCTTACAGGAAATTCGAAAATATTATATAAGGCATGTAGGTTAAAATAAACAATTGATGCTTTTATCCAAAGCGAAAACAAACTAGCAAAACTGGCGTTTTCATACTAGAATATGACATATTTCTCTATACATGAATATGCCACATTTCTCTACACAAACGAAAGCACAAGCAGAAAAGCATAATTATCATCTGTCAGGAGCTACTCAGATAGCTGCAAAGTTTTATTCCTTATTGCTTAAAACCGTTTAAGAATAAATTGAAAGAAAAACATTTTAAGAGATCGAATTTGATAAAAAAAAAGATTTAAAGAAAATTAAAAGATTCCAAATTCGAGACTTAATTTACATATTATGTGCGATTAATGACTTAATGACTAAGTTTTCAGTATTTTACCATATTTAACTCGGTAGTGGCTATTTTTGCTTATTTTTGTAATTAATTGGATTGTGAGTGTTGTTTGCAATGTGTAAAATGACTTCCTTTGCTCGCTTCACAATCGTTTACTCTTAAATATATTTTCCACATTTTCATGAAAATTAGAATGAATCTAGAGGCATGCTGCTTTAAGATTAGCATTTGATTGAAAGCAACGTATGCGGATAAATCTACCGGAAAACATTTAATATACCCAGTGTATAACATTACCTTGTTTTCTGTTCTGTTTATCCCAGCAAGAAACAGGATATAAGCAACAATTAACCAACAGGATAAGTTCATATGAATGATGTACCGCACCGATTTAATAAACCTGAAAACATATGTTCAAATATTATACGAAATGATTCATCATGATAACTTGTTTCTATTTAAGCAGTTACCCATGGTTCATACAGACACCAAATGCCAAAATTCAATCACTTTCTAAGCACGTGTGTCCATTTTCAAGCACGATTTGTTGCACATTTATCGGGAGGAGAGGGGTCACTATTTTTTTTTTTGTGAACTGTCGATTTTACCAACACAATGTCATTCAGTCATTTTTAAGCATATTTGCAGCAAATCAAAGCATTTTTAAGAGAGTTATCAAATTCAAGGATCTTTAAGCACATTTATTTCATTTTAAAACACTTTTTAAGACCGGGACTCAAATTTAAGCACTTTTTAAGACTGTACGAACCGAAATTAATTAGCGTTTGCCCACGTTTCGGTTCGTACAGTCTTAAAAAGTGCTTAAATTTGATCTTGATATTTGAAGGCAGTGATTCCAACAGAATAGAGCATGTGAAGACTGCACGTATCACTGCCTTCAAATATCAAAATACTTATGTAAATTAAATATAAAAATGCAAAATTTCAGATAATGGAAACTCTCTGTATACAAACAGTTCAAAATTTGAAATCGGACAAATTCAATACAATAATATAGTCGGAAATGTGTGTTCCATTGCTTTATTCCATATGTATTAAGACTGTAAATATTTTTGTGTTTCTTTGTTGTTTTTGTTGCTGCTGTTGTTATTTTCTGGTTTTTAGAAGTTTTGTTATTTTTGCTTATGTTTGTTTACGTTTGTTCTTTGTTGTTGTTGTAGCTGCTATTGCTCCTGCGGCTGTTAATACTGTGGTGGTGTTGTTGTTTTGTGCGTGGTGTTATATTTAAGTTTGCTGTTTTTCATTGTAATATCTCGTTGTTTCTAAAGCTTATTACTCCTTACTTTTGTAAAAAAAAATATTTTTTTATTTTGTGTTTTATTCGTTTTTTCTTCTTTTTTGTTTCAGTCATTGTTTTTATTGTTCTTTTTCTCTAATACTAAAAAATTGCAAACCTCCAGAAGAATGCATGTATAGCTACATTCAGTACAAGACATATCATGGAAACTATACATCCTATCATGGAAATGATTGACAGTGCCTCCTTATGTTCCTCCTCAATCTGAAAATATACAGTACTTATGTTAAGTGTTATGTACAATTGTTTTAGAATTGTTTGGAGTGTGCCGCCTCTACAAGGTATATATCCATACTATGGATGATGGCACAAACACGTGTAAACAAGTTTCAGCAGAGCTTTGATATACATGTAATTGTCAAGTACTAAATTTTCCTCATAAGAATTCAAGAATTCACATCCTGATCAAGTATAAATGCTTGACAAGTAAATTGTATCTTTATGTGGAACTTTTAGGCACAGCAACACTATTATTGTCATTTTACGACATTCTAGATAAACCGGAAGAGCTAGTCATTTGTGCGCATAAGTGGCCAAAAATCGGGTTCCTAAATAGTTACAACCTCGCTATATAACAGTAGCTTATTTGAGAAAACATTTGGTCTGAAAATTAATTTACTTTCTTTGGCGACTGTTAAATAAATGCAAGTATTGACTAAATCATTACTGACTTTTTTATTTGTCATCCGCAGATGTTTCGTTTCAAATAATATTTTTTTTTATTTTGGAAATTTATATCTTCTTTTTTCAACTCATAATACTTTAAGTGCAAAATGCACTTTAAACCTCTTTACAATCTGTTAAAGTGGAACTTAACCCAATTATTATAAAACTATCACATTCTACGTCTTATTTCAAGCTAGGTCACATAATCATATATAAAAACTTGTGAGTACAAATGATTAATTCGCACTCATGCAAGCGATGATATATGCTAAAATGTAAAGTAAAATAATACCTACATACCTGGTGTTTGGATGGACTCATAAGCACAGCAAAATTAGTAAGATGGTCGCAAACACACACAACAACTTCTTCGTCTTTGTCATATTTTTTCAGTCGACATCCCTCATCTGACCAGTAACCTTGTGACGTTTCGCTTCACAAACAAGAAACAATTATTGCATTACATTTGTTACGTCGAATTTCGTCGGAATATTTTTACTTGCCAATTTATTGATTACACAAAAACAGCAATTGAACTATTCCTGTTACGGTATAACTTATAAGTGTGCACGTAAAGCATATCGCGTGGCCACGTTTTGGTTACCGCCTGTGTACTAACAGCCACCGCGTGGCCACGTAATAGCTATCTCATGTGCACGTCGTAAATAAAAGATTTCCATTTACATGAAGAATTTACGCAGATTATTTGACCGTGTAACAAAAGATATTTGCTATATAGCCCTCACATTGCGGTTATATAAGCTTAAACTGTTTATACTGGTCATATTACGCATGTTTGTTTTACATACTTAATATGCTCAACAGTTAAACATTAAATTACCACATACATTATGTAATACTACATGTAACTTGATAGTTTTCATGTTTATAAGTGTTTTTGAAAGTAAAGTAATTATTCGTCATCTTAATTTTAAGGGGAAAATATCACTTGTTAATCAGATAAATATCTGTTGTACATTTTTTAATTATGGAATAAATGTTCAACTGCTGACCAAAAGACGCCACCATACGAAATACAGTCCAAAAGATAAATGTTGATCGGCGTAAGTTTTAGCTCATTTGCGTTAATATGATACTTTACCTTTTTGACTCCTTCCAAAACGAACATCTCGCATTATCTAACGTATTCTGAATTTTAGAAACAATATGTTTTATGAAAATTTATTCAGTATTCTTTTTATCTCCATCGAAACCCTTTGAAAAACATACTAAAATAAATTTATTATGAAAATATTACACAAATATAACGTTTTGGTGATTTATTCCAAGCTATTACATGTTAAAGTTGTTAATGAACCATATCGGTACCAAAACGACAAACTTACAATCATAATATTTAAATATATAATAAAAACAATATCTGGATCCCTTAATGATAGCGGTATACCGGTAGTTTCATGAAGAATGAGCCAAAGTAAATTATGTTTCAGAAATATTAGTTACATGTCTCAAATGAATGCATGTACATTTATTACAATGCCCAATCTGACTAAAGTTCAGCTCTACTTATTTTTTATGTAGATCTGAAGACGACCGTTTATGTTTCGCCTTCTTTATAATTCGGATATATTTCGAGAATGCTATTTTTAGCCATGCAATCAAAGCGGTTTTTTCACAGGCATAAGAAGAAGTATCAAAATACCGTTATCCGTGGAAGTTAAACAAAAAAATGTTTGAATTAAATTTTATCAAATTTAAGTGAAAAAATAGTCAACTTAAAATGGACAAGATTGTTTTGCCAATTGTATCAGGTCACAGTCAGATCTAAAATCGGAGCGTTATTTAAAGCTGATTTTAATCAGATTGTACAATGTCCGTCCATTTATATAAAATTGCATGGTGTTGAACAATAATTATTGTGAATTTCTTTTTGTGAAAAAATGACTTACGTTATACAACTGAAATTGAATTTCCACTGGGCTGGCAAGTTTTCGTTTAATGTTTGGATAGAATGTAAATGATATTACTGGAGCATTCAGCTGAAGTTCTTCGGATCTGATGTGAAAATAAAACAAGAGGGCCATGATGGCCCTAGATCGCTCATCTGACCCATCAAACTCATCCGAACATTTACCTAGACAAGCATACTGACCAAGTTTCATGACAGGTGAGTCAAAAATGTGACCACTACAGTGTTAACAAGGATTATCCATATTTGAGCAGTGTGACCTAGTTTTTTACCCAGGTGACCCATATTCAAACTTGACCTAGAAATCATCAAAACAAACTTTCAGACCAATTTCCAGGATACTTGAATAAAAACAGTAGCAACTAGAGTGTTAACAAGATTTTTCTATTTTTAGCTCCGGTGACCTGGTTTCACATGCGATTTCGAACTCATTCGAGCAATTACCTAGACAAGCATCCTGACCAAGTTTGATGATAATTGAGTCGAAAATGTGACCACTAGAGTGTTAACAAGGTGTTTCCATATTTGGGCGGTGTGACCTAGTTTTTCATCCGAGATGACCCATGTTCGAACTTGACTTAGAAATTATCAAAACAAACTTTCAGACTAATTTACAGGATGTTTAGATCAAAACAGTAGCCACTAGAGTGTTAACAAGATTTTTCTATTTTTAGCTCCTGTGACCTAGTTTTTCCATTCGAGATGACCCATGTTCGAACTCAACCGAGCAATTACCTAGACAAGTTTCCTGACCAAGTTTGATGACAATTGAGTCAAAATTGTGACCACTAGAGTGTTAACAAGATTTTTCTATTTTTAGCTCCTGTGACCTTGTTTTTCATCCGAGATGACCCATGTTCGAACTCATCTGAGCAAGTACCTAGACAAGCATTCTGATCAAGTTTGATGACACTTGTGTCAAAAATGTGACCGCTAGAGTGTTGACAAGGTTTTTCTATTTTTAGCTCCGGTGACCTAGTTTTTCATCAGAGATGACCCATGTTCAAAGTCACCCGAGCTATCACTTAGACAAGCATCCTGACCAAGTTTGATGATAATTGAGGCAAAAATGTGACCGCTAGAGTGTTAACAATGTTTTTCTATTTTTAGCTCCAGTGACCTTGTTTTTCATCCGAGATGACCCATGTTCGAACTCATCTGAGCAAGTACCTAGACAAGCATCCTGATCAAGTTTGATGACACTTGTGTTAAAAATGTGACCGCTAGAGTGTTAACAAGGTTTTTCTATTTTTAGCTCCGGTGACCTAGTTTTTCATCAGAGATGACCCTTGTTCAAAGTCATCCGAGCTGTCACTTAAACAAGCATCCTGACCAAGTTTGATGATAATTGAGGCAAAAATGTGACCGCTAGAGTGTTAACAATGTTTTTCTATTTTTAGCTCCTGTGACCTAGTTTTTCATCCAGGATGACCCATGTTTGAACTCATCCGAGCTATGACCTAGACAAGCATCTTGACCAAGTTTGAGGATGATTGGTGCAAAAATGTCACTGCTAGAGTGTTAACAATGTTTTTCTACTTTTAGCTCCTGTGACCTAGTTTTTCATCCAAGATGACCCATGTTCGAACTCATTCAAGCTATCACCTTGACAAGCATCCTGACCAACTTTGATGATGATTGAGGCAAAAATGTGACCTCTAGAGTGTTAACAAGGTTTTTCTATTTTTAGCTCTTGTGACCTAGTTTTTCATCCGAGATGACCCATGTTCGAACTCATCCGAGCTATCAACTAGATAAGCATCCTGACCAAGTTTGACGATGATTGAGGCAAAAATGCGACCGCTAGAGTGTTAACAATTAAATGTGAACGGACGACGGACGACGGCCGACGGATGACGGACGACGGACAATCATCGATCCTAAAAGCTCACCCTGAGCATGATCAGGTGAGCTAAAAACATTGAATTTATTAAACTATCAAACATATATGCATATTTCAAACAGATATTCACATAACAATTTGAGTATAATGATAAAAAGCAGAACGGTATTATCACATAGACAAACAGAACATTGTGACGTAGATGTTTGATCAATTTACTAGGATGAGACATTTAAAGAAAACCTTTTACTTACTTAGTGTTGTTAGTTGATGATGATATTATCAGTGATAAATTCCTGTACATAATTCCACTAAATGATTCAACGGTACCTGCAGAATTGCAACATTAAATGCACTTATCATTAAATATAACAATCATATAGTTTATTGAAATTTACCAAATAGAAATAGTAGAGCTAGTGAAAAAAATAAAGTTATAAGAAAAATAATTGTTATTATGATTAAAAGAAAGGCGGCTGAAAAAGAGTTATTTTATATCTGGAAGTTTCTTTCATGTGTTGAGAGCGAACTTTATACGACATCAAGTCACGTGGATGTATATATGTGTGATATCCTCCCTGACAAGGCGTCTTGTTGCAAATAGTCAAGTAAAAGGAAAATAGCGGATATGGGCGTTATTTAAATGATCTTTATATTAACATATTACCTTGAAAAATATCAAATGTTTCAAGATATCAAGGTGTTCCCTAAAAGTTGTAAAAATTGGCGAATCTATTCTACTCCTACAACCTTCATACACACTTTTACTTGTAAACAGTTTACACTTTAAATATCATTATGTTTAACAGGCGAAACTTTTACTGTTTGCGATAGATATTTTACAATCATATTTTATACATGTAATCAAGCGTAACATACTGTCACAGTCAATTACGAGCCCGTCCTTCCTTGATCTAGCCCACTCTGAGACACCTTCGTTTTCATGTTCAGGGAAATTCAGAGCTTCGTTACATGATTGTATAGACGCCATCTTTAAATCTAAAACAGGATAAATATATCATCATCCGATTGATCTACTAATCAATATGAAACGTTTTAGCATTTGGTATTAAATAAGTAGTTATAACAGAGGAA